AATCTAGACACACTTAATTTTTACTGATTATTTCAACTAACATCGATGATTTTATGTTCAAAGATTTAAAGCAATAAGCAGTTCGGTTATTGCTGTTTTGTGTAAGTATATGTTAAATACAAATTGTCTGATAAGATAACGCGCAATAAACTTTGGTTTCAGGTTTCCTCGATACAGGCTTGCCTAGCGAGGATACCAACAGATATTAAGAATTGTATATTTTCTGATAATAAAACATTTTTTTCATTATATCAGTACCAGAAGAAAAAGATTTGGAATGACGGTTACATTTTCGGTGTTATGAAAAATTCTACCCACTATTTATTATTATTGGGTATAATTTTTCATACAATACAGTTTTTGTGTAACATTCACAAATTTGTTGAAGCACAGCTTTTGCAAATTTACTTTCGACCAGGCTTGCATATTCCGCGCAGAAATTAAAACTACTCCTGAATTTTTTCGCGGAAGGTAATTGCATTACAGTCGCGTATGAAATGTTTTTTCTTTCCTTCAAATATTTATTTATTTATTAATAATTAAATTTATTATTTATTTATTAATATAATAAATAAGAAGAAAGTATGAGCAAATTTCTTAAAAATGTATTCTAGCTGTACCTTTGTCAAGTAAACTTGATGATGAGATGATACTTATATCTATAATTTTACACTACAGGTAAGTTACGTTACGTTTTTCAAATTTTCATATTCTTATTAATCTTAACAAAATGACCATAACGAAAAGTCCTGCTGTACATCCAGCTAGTCCAAAGTTTTTACATTCTTAATCGTTATAGAGTAATACCCTATAGAAGCAAATGTCGCAAGCCTGTAGTTAATTGTTAGAAAAAAAGAATGAATTTATTAATTAAAAGAGCTGTATGCTGTATGTACTGAACGAGAACTAGCATAAACGAAAGCTTTAAAATGTTTCAAAATGGCGGATAATTGAACTCATTAAGTAATTTACGACTCCTAAATAAGGCTCTAAGCCCGACCTGGCCGACCGGCTGTAATTTACTTTAAAGGTCACGAAGTGACTACACAATATGTATAGGTACCTATATGTTACATAAAAAGTTCAAGCTTTATTGTCAAAGAAATGCTATCACAATTTAAGATAGAAAAATGCTGTTAATTATATTAAATAGTAAGATAACACTGTGCAGACATCTCACCATGGGAAGAAACTTCTTCTCATTTATGACGAGAAAAAGAATCCGCTGTATTGTCAAAATACCTACGTGCTAACGGGTTTCAAAAATCCTCAGAATAATTTTATTTTCTTCTCAAGTTTCCTCACCATGTGTTATTTAATCGCCGCGCGAGAGTGCGAGAAAAATTAAAGGTCAGTCAGTGTATATCTTGGCTTTTGTTCGGTAATAACGTTTCATATTATTTGCAATGTACCTACGTATATACTTTAGACTAGTAGTAAAAGTAAAAGTCGACAATACAATAAGAACATAAACTTATCTCTACTTATGGACACCTTCGTTATGTATGTAAAATTAATAAAATTTGCCAAAGCTCACAAAGAGCGTATAAATTATGAACTCCTTGTCGGTTCGTAAATCCCTCAGTTGTATGGGCCGACAATTTATAAATAATTAGATGCAAAACAATCTGAGGCATTCGGAGGAACGGATACAACAACAATACATTAGTATCTGCCTATAGCGTTACACCACCACGCTCAAACCAGTTTTCGTTTGTACTGTCAGCAGAATAAACACGCGCACCCATTATTCAAAATACCAATTCGGCTTGTATTTGGTACGTAACATGCTGTTTGTAAACTCTTTGATTTACAGCACAGAAATGTGTTTATGTTTTTATAATTAAATTTACGTTTGAAATTTATGCGAACATTATACCAAAATTTTTTCGTTACCTGCCAATTTTATAAATTTTATGAATTAAACTCAAATAATCCACCAAATCATTTCAAACGCAAAATATTAAGCAAATACCAACAAATGTCTCATTGCTAATAATGTCAGAGCAGAAGTCCGTATATTCCAATCGAACAGTGATTAATTATTCCTTTACTTACAACTATGTTATTAAAATAAATTAAACATTCAAAATAAAACCGAGAATAAACAAATAAAATGTTTTTCAATAACATTCATTAACATTACATAACTATACATTGAGTAACCTCCACACGGAAATCCTGGTAATTTAGACTACTACAAACTTCAATTTCAAAGTGACCCATCAGGCAACGTCGTCTGCGAACCAGAAGACAAACTGCCTGCCTCTCAATTAGAGCATAGTAAATTACGCGCGGTGCAAGTTTTATAAACATATTTATTTTCTGAAACTTCAGTTGAATAGTGACGAGATGTGGAAATCATTTTTACTGCTAACGAGTCATTCCTCACGGGTGTCAACGCATTTTCATTTTGATTCTTAATTAAGGATAAATGTATTTGTCTATGAGCCACAGCATTAACTGACCAATAGGAGGACTGTGCGCTCTTTTGTAATCCGTACTTCTAAGAAATACTCTACGATGATAAAAATTCTTCAACTCACTCCCATTCTCCCTCACTCCCACTCCTAATATTGTCACTACTACTTTTGAATTGTTATAGAGTAATTGCGCTTTATCGTTAATTAATATTTTTTACTGAAATTATGCGTCTAGAAGAAATAATTGGCTTGCTTGAATGACTATAACCTCTAAAATATTACAACTACTACTTAGTTTTGTAGATAGCGTATTTTATAAACAATTAAAATCATTACCTTATTAAAGTAAACATTCAATAAATTTTGTAAATATTTTTATGTACCACTTTAATAAGGCTCTATTTATACCAAAAAATATTTTATCTCCAAAAAACATTAATAATTGATTTTTTGATGACACTTAGCGTGTCATAAAATTCATCTTATACCTACAACCTAAATGTTAAAAATCTTTAAAAAAAACCTTACTGCAGATCGTTTTTACATAATTTATACTTCTTCTACAATGATATAGAACAACATGAATTTACTTTCTTTTAGTTTTTTTTGCCGACTTCAAAAAGGAGACAGTACTCAATTCGACTGTATGTTTTTGATTTTATTCTTTTATGTGTGTTACCTCATAACTTTTTACTGGGTGAACCGATATCGATGATTCTTTTTTTACTTGATAGCTGGTACTTCACGTGTGGTCTCATATGAATTTGATCAAGGTCAGACCAATAGTTTTTGAGTTATTCTTAATTATTTATATTGAAGTCGGCTGTACAAATTTTTTAATTTTAAATTATTATATACCGAGTCTGGACTAATTATCTGTTCTTGTGATTATTAACATAATTACCTTCACAATGTGAAGTGTAGTACTAAAGAGCAACAATTTAAAGTAAAAAATAATTAAAGCCATGTAATTATAAGACGGTTGTGTCTGGTATGCTCAACATATAGCGCAATATCAAGTGGGCATGTATACATAATTTTGATCAATAAATCTTTTTTTGCTTACTCTACAGGTTTCACGTCTACAGACTTCGCCCCAAGATGATGTTATTTAAGATGAGATCAATTTTATTAAGATTTATTCTGTGAACATGTTTCATATCGATATAGTTCTTTACCTATAAGTTGTCGACTTTAAAATTCGTCTGTTGATTAATAGCGGAATTTCAATGATATATAAGCAAGAGCGCCTATTAGTTTTAGATATCTATGAAAATCTGATTAATTACGGTTGACTTTCCGTGTTTAACAAGTGAATTAAAATGTACAAAACATTTTAAGGTGTTTCATTTGTACCTAGTAGTCCTGATAAGTAGATACCGCCTTTTTACCCACTTCTGTTGCCAATCATCAGTATCTACTTAAATATTTCAGGCTGAGGCTTTAATCTGAATTATCAAGAGTGTCACCGCGTCTATGACCTTAACTAAAGAGTGTTAAAAGTAACAGTAAAGTAAAGTCTGTAAGATAAATCTGCAACGGTAGACACTGTCCGTAAAAGTAACACCTGTCCAGAAGTGTTCCATGTAAGTACACAAAAATTCTCATCCCAAAGAGCTAAAATGACAAAATAATCGCATAGCCTGCCATTGTATTGTCTATCTTATCCACCAAACAGATCATAATAGTGGGTACCTACGCTGCTGGTTTGGCTACAGAAATAAGCAAGAGGGTTGTAGCAAACCTGAAAGACCTCACGTGGATAGAATATCATATTATTATTAATACATACGTAAACTTTCTGGGTAACATTCGTAAAAGTTAGGGAGGCAGAGACTACGGACTTCCATACATACAGTTAGTAGTATATTTGTAGCACGAATGGGTCGGCTCGACCGGGGAAGGACCACGCTCTCACAGAATACCAGCGTAAAATAGCAGCTTAACGCTGCTGTAATTCGTATGGTGAGTGTAGAGAACCGGAGACCCTTTTTACTGGAAAAGAGGCATTCCATCTTAGTCCTCACGGGTGACAACGCATCTGCATTTTGATTCGTAATCGAGGATAGATGTAGATATTTATGGGCCACAGCAACCACTTACCATCAGGTGGACTGTGTGCTCGCTTGTCATCCTTTTACTATAAAAAAAAAGATAATATGTTCCATACATAATAAAAATCCCGGCCATGTATGTTCTACATATTATATTATAATATATAGAACATACATGTTCAGGATTTTTATTACATTATATAATAATAAATAACATTTTTAGACATATCTAATAATATTTTACTTTTAACAACAACGGCAATTTAAAATAATTAGATAATATGAAAGTAATAATATGAAAATCAAATTTTTAAGTATTTAAACTGTATATTAAATAATAACACGACTCACGCTTGACCTTCTTGCATAGACCGTCGGACTGGAAGCGGAACTACGTGCTTTCTCTTTCATAGGACTTTAAATTCTTAAAAGCTTCATAGATGGCAGTAAAATCGTAAAAGCAGCTTTAAGCTGCCACTAGTGTCGCCATCTAGCGTCGAATAACCGAACTTTTATGGCATGTTTATCGAAGAGGGCTCTTCAGCAGCTCATAAATGGGTTTATGAGCACGAACTCTAGTTTCGCACTCGATATTATCCGACCGAGTATAGTTGGGGCTGCGATATTTGAGTACTTCTGTTGAACGGTGTAATATTCAATTCAACCGGTGTTCATGGGTCTTTATGTGCGATTCAAGGTGTGATTGGATGGCGTGCTTGAGCGTTTATTTGGCTTTATTGTTGGGGTTTGTTTATGCGATTACTGTTTAACCAAGTACGGGGTTTCGTACATGCCTTTGTTATGATTATTATATTGTTACGAATGATGAATACGGTATCGTGGGAAGCTTCTCCATTTTTCTCACTGAAAATGTACTACTTACATTATATTTTAAATTGAACTTAAAATAGATATCTTTAATTTTTATTTGAAAATAATATAAAGTATTTATAAAGGGGCGGGGTCAATATTATTAGGTAAACAGTAACCTCCAAAACATTTATAAACGTTTTGTTCTCAAATTTCTCCTAAAATGTAGCCGTGAAAAAGGCAAATCATAAATAAGATCCGATTCAAATTTGTAGAAGATGCTATCAGTATGATTTGTGGGCTCGCACCCGAGTGTATATATAGTGCTGTGCTAATTGTAAGCCAGTTTGTCGATAAAAATATTACACATCGACAATATCTCGCATCAAATTTAGTATCTATATAAAGACGTAATTTCCTTGTTACCTAAACTCTCGTTCTTCCATAGCATTTCAACCTTTTTGGAAACTGAATTTTAATTTAAACATTTAAATTTGATTTTTTTTTGATGAACTCTTTTAATACGCATTGCAAATAAATCATAAATTGTATACCTAAAGTTAATAATCAATTGGAAAATCTTTTAAATAAATGATACTTATTATGGTGCCTACTTCAAGTTATGGCTGTTCTACACGCAAACCTTTATGCGTTTAAGTGCTGATTTATCACGTGCTTGGCGATGAAGAAAAACATTCTGAGGAAATCTGCAAGTCTAAGGATTGAAAGTATTTTGAACGCATGTGAAGTCCGCCAACAAGCACTGGAGTAGAGACAATAAGTGTCTGCCGCTCCATAATCCTTTAATAAATGAAAGGAGGCATGTGCCTTGCTGTTCTACATATATTATACTATACATATTCAACCTAACATTTACTTTACATTACGTATCTACCAAGTAAACTTACAATATTTACTTCATAGGTACATCGATCTTGCGTTGCGCATCGCATCACTAATTACTCCTATAATTTTGTTGCTACGTCTGCTTTTATTATTTCATTGGCCCAGACCTTCGATAGATAAAGCACGGTCGTTTAAAGATATTTAAAAATAAATATGATATTGTGGAAAATATCCGAAAAAATTTTAAAAAAGTAGGAAAAGATATTATTTAAATTTTTATTCAAGTTAATAAACTACTGAAAAATATATAAAATAATAACGTAGATCAGTACACAAATTCTCTGTTTGTGTAGTGAGCTACGTTATTTTACTTTAAAATAAGAACAAACTACAGAGAAAGGAATATAATTATCTTAATTTAGTTTTTGTAGTTAGTTGTTTAGTTAATGTAATAAAATGAAATAAAGTAGTAAAATTTAAATACAAAGAAAATTTTACTTTGCTGCAGGTTGTTCCTATATTGTTCTGTGTATTATGATATTTTGTTATTCGTTTAATATTTTTAAATATACCTGCCTACTCTAGGGAGCCTTCAAATTATTTAATTTTAAAGCAGACAAGTCTAAGGATATTCTGAATAAAACTCTATGAAGTATTAAGTATTATAATATGGCTTTTAATTCATTACTACTTTTATTCAATACAATAATATGTATACAATTCCTAGTCGATTTCGATCACAAACTACAACTTTCGAAGTTAGATGTTAACTGCGCAGGATAATAATGCTACAAGTGTAAACGCAGAAGTACTCATTCGTCTTTACCTATCTATGTTCGATAAAATTTAATCATTTTAATTGGAGGAGGTATTGGATATTTAATATGGTAGAGCCACGCTACAGCTATATATGGCTGTAGCACGATTGAGTCGGCTCGACCGGGGTGCGACTACGCTCTCACAGTGTACCAGCAGAATAATGCTGTTTTGTTTCGTATGATGAGTGTAGAGAAGAGGAAATCTTTGTTTTACTAGTAACGGCATTTTATCTTAGTCATCAGGGGTATAAACGCGACTGCATTTTGATTTTGAGGATAGACATACATAGATGTGTGTGAGCCACAGCATACAATTACCATCAGGTGGACTGTCTGCTCATTTATTATCTGTGAAGGCTGGAATACAGTGGTTTGACACACGGGGACAATCATAACTCAATTAGACCAGAAAAGTAACAATTTTTGTTTTAGCATGAATTATGGTTCCTGCTGAGATATGAACCCTAGTTGTATCTAGTTATTGTAAACACTTGTGGTAGTTTCTTCATATGAACGAAATTAATAGTTCTTTTTCATTGTTACAGTGTATTTTATTATTTATATATAAATAATAAATAGGTATATAGAAGAATAGCTTAGTACATAAACAAACCGAAGCAGTTTAAATACGCCCCGGCCTAGCGCCACGAGGCTAGTTGCGATGACCCAAACTTAGACAATAAATACTCGTTAATTTTAATTCGATACTCACTCACGCATCTACCGATTAGAAGTTTGATTTAAGCATGTGAAATATTTATGAGTATCATAGTTCCAAATGTTATCAGGTTGTGTTAGAAAATAAAGAAAGATACGACGTTAGTCTGTTATATATATAACAGTTAGTTTCTCATTTAATTTTTATAAAAAACTAAACACTTAAGTTTGACATAATTATTAAATAACTTTATTGCTTAGAAAAATCTTCCTATTCATCAGTGACTTACGTCAAGTTACATCCACGGAGACATAGGTTTCTCTACATAATGTATAAAACGACGAATAACAATCCATGCCACCCCGAAGGCTACAAATTACATCTGATTTGGCCGACAAAAGTTTTTTTTTCTTGGCCACATAACCCAAACAATGTGTTATCTGTCCTAAATGTGATTTAACAGGTAATTTTTAGAATAGATTACCTTTAAACAGAATCAGATTTATGTCTAACCACAATGTAAATAGGTGGGTGAGCTTCAGAACGTAGAACTACATTTATTTTCATTTACCTCCATTTATATCGCGGCTTCACGTTGAGATTACGTAATTTAACAAAGGGAGCGCTATAAATCTGTGTCCTGTCTTAGTAGGCTTTGTGGGTATTTTGATATGTGCCTTTAAAAGCTTTTTTCTGTATTTAAATGAGAGTTCATTGTGTAATTCATTAGAGAGGGTAGGTCGTGGCGGAGCAGTGCGGCACGCGGTCGATATCGAAAGATAACGCTGTATTTATTGCCCACCAATGAGATGTGCGACAACCAAACGATATTTATAACGACTTACGAATTAGTCGGAACAAGTAAGAGTAGGGATAATGACACCTTTACAAGCTCTTCGATGTGATCTGAGTTCCGGTAAGAAATTACAGATACCTACTAATTTCAGACATAATTCTAATTGGACAGAAATTCGTAAACACACTTTAAATTAATAGTACTACAAAAACGGTATTTTAAGTTAAACAAATGTTATTTAAATTCAATTCGATAAATATATCTGTTATGATAAATTAAAAATAGGATATGTTAATTTTATTATTGATAACTAGTTTGGTTAATTAGTAGTCGAATCACGTGTCGGCCATTACTCGCTTTTACAAACGACTAGACAGCGCAACGCTAATGTTGAGGTGTGATAATGACTTTGCATTTCATGAAATATTATCCTGTGATTTGATTTAATACAAGAAAATTATGATAATTTTACTCTTAGAGTCTATTTAACATAATATCCTCTACATAAATAAAAAACGAAAAATATAATAATTATAATTAGCGTCAGAATTATGTAATATTTACACTAACTAAAGTGATGATTAAATGGCTCAGATAAGTGCTTTGCAGTTTTAGGAAAAGATCCATGTTTGGTAACAGAATAGTATCTTAGTTTCTATTTAACAAATAGCGGTGATTTAGTACTAGACAATAGACATAACCCTCATCCATAAGGGAAAGATTAGATTCTGTAATATAGGATATGGTATATACAGGATTATTTTGCAATAACCGGCCAAATTTGCAGAGAAGGCTCAGAACAAGTAATTTATGCAAATGGTAAAGAAAAATTAATAAAATAATCTCAAACATTCTATCCTTTTTATCTTTAAATTCTAAATATGTGGTAATGCATTATTTTAACTGATTTTACTGTGCACGTACACATTCGTAAGGATCGATCGGTAGGCAAAAACGTTGTTGGCCATAAATCACATTCAATTTGAGATAATTTCAAATAAAAGTAGAAGCCTTAGTTACTCGTATTTTCAAAAACTGCAATAACGGTATATAATTTTATTTATATATTTGAACTTAAGTTTAAAATTTGGCTAGTCTTTGAAAAATAAACCTGTATATTAAAGGCCATATGATCCTTCTGGCCTTTTCCCATAGTCGTTTCTTACGCCCCACATGTACTAAAATAAAGAGATTCCTAAGTAACTATTTTTCGTTTAATATAATAGAAACAATGTGTGTTAATAAAACATCAATTGTCAATGTATGGGTGGCCTCATAAACTTGTGGTCGCATTGTCTATTCTCGAATCGAACTTGCGATTTGCATTGAGAGCCAACCCGGCATACATTATGACGCTTGCTGGTGGATAACTAATTAGCACTCGATATCGATATTCATATCAGGCGCTTCATTAGTCGCTGCTGTCCGATTTGCAATATAAATTAAACTTTATTGTTTCACAGTTTATGCTTTAATTTTCCTTTTTTGTGAAGTTAATAAAAGGGAATATTTAACACTGTACAGCAAACGTACTGACCTGAACGAGCGCCAGTCGAGTAATACGTCACCAGTAGACAGTTGCCCCCTCTCCCGGACCCCCTCGAAGCCCCAGCTTAATGCTGGACAGAGATTCAAATATAACAAATAAAGAGAGAGCGATAGAGATAGATAGATCACGTGAAACATGGCGTATAACGCCCCTTGATTT